GTGACCCCTCAAATGGCCCCACAGCATCCCACGGGCCTGAAACAGAGCAGCTCAGGCTCCTCCAGCCCATTCCAGGGATGTAACAGACCATGAGCAGAGCATTAGCAGCACAGCAGCCAGGCTGAGACAAGCTAAAAGCTGAAACTAGGCAAACACAAGGCAACTCCAGCCCAGCTTCATGAGCAGTGAGAGCCCCATACTGCCACGGTTACAATGAGGAGGGAAAGTGGGAGGCAAAGCCAGGCTTTAGGTGTCTTGTTGGGGCTGAGGATAAGAGGATATGGCCTCAATCTGTGCCAGGGGAGGTTCAGGTTGGACATCAGGAGGAATTTCTTCTCAGAAAGAGTTATTAAGCCTCAGAATGGGCTGCTCAGGGAAGTGGAGTCACCATAGCTGGAGGTGTTGAAGAAACAGGTGATGGTAGGACTCAGTGCTCTGTTCTAGTTCAAAAGGTGGTGACTGGTCAAAAGCTGGACTTGATATTAAATGTCTTTTCCAACCTAATTGATTCTGGGACAAGATAATTCTGACTGAAGAGCTGAGCAGCCCCCAGGTTACCAAACCGGCATGCCTGGTACACACACATCAGACGGGTACCCCAGTTAACACCCAGCTACCCCAAAAGCCACCTTCCTGGTCCTCCATCCATCAAACACCCTCAAGTCGCTCCTTTTCTTCAGCTCTGGCATTTGTTTGACCTCTCAGTGGGTCACCTCCAGAACTGCAGGGCTGGTTGCCAGCTGAATCCCAGACTGGACTGGGTTGGAAGGAACCTTAAAGCTCACCCAGTTCCATCCCCCTGCCATGGGCAGGGACACCTTCCACTAGCCCAGGTTGCTTCAAGTCCTGTCCAACCTGGCCTTGAGATACTCTCATCTCCAGAATCTTGAAAATATTTGCAGAGCTGAACTTCTCTACTCAATCCTTACTTCTCAGGTACAGAGCTGTCAACAGTACGCCCAGTTACAGAGCAGTAAATTTCCTCTTGAAAATCATCTGTCCCATGCACACATCCATGCCCAAACTGCACAAGAAGCAGCAAAATGGGAGCAGGATATCCTTGTGGGGAAGGGAAATGGCACAGCTCTGCCTTGATTTATGTAGTCTCTGCAGACCTGGACAATGAAACAACAGACCCAAAAACTCAGGTTGCAGATAATTCAACCCCAGCAAAGAATCCCTGTGCAATCTTCTCCCACACAAAGTGGTCCTGGATGGACAGGACAAACCCCCAGAATGGGGATGTTTCAGAGACAAAAGCTGCTGGGAACTTCTTGCAGTGACCACCAGGACCACTCAACCCATTGGGTCACTCTCTTCCCCCAGTTGGAAAACTGAGGTAGGAGTTGGTTTCCCATGGAAATAGGAAATAGGAAATAGTCTAGCAAAGCACACAGCTGATCACAGAAGACCTACAAACAGCATGATTCCCACAGTGGCATATCCACCAAACAGAATTAGTCCACATAGAGCTAATTGCCCAAGTAACACTAACAGTTTTAAGACAGCTTGATCCCATCCCCCAGCTCCCAACACTACATTTATGGAAACACTAAAAACCACAGACAAGGCCTCATAGTTCACCACAAAAATCAGGATCCATCCTTGCTGCAATCAAGCTGCATGGTTTGCAGTGGAATTTTAGCAAGGAAATGGAAATCACACTGGCATACAATTGTTCCGCCTCCCTGTTCGCCTTCACACATTTCTCACAGGTCAATTTTAAAGAATTAAGTCTTGTTCAGTGAAACATCTGGTGGCTGTTGCTAGAGGAAACCAACTATCTGCAACATTTGAGCAAAAATAATAAGTTACATAAAAGCCAGACTGCATAAGCAAGGACAAGTGTTTTGCCAGTCTGTAAATCTCAAAACCTTATATGAAACCTCATGTTTAATTTCTGGGTTAGAACACAATGAAATCAAATCACATGCATTACAAAACTCATGAAGACTTAAGTTTTCTCTAAGTTTATGAGGATATAATCATGCAGTACTGGAATTAACTTTCTAGCTAGCAACTGTCCTAAAGATTTTCTGCCAACAGCATAGACAGATGAATTACAGCTTAAAAATTGACCATTTCAGCTTTAGGCACTTTCAGACTCAGTTCAAGACAGAACAAGTTCAAGAGTTAGAGAAGAGGGTTTTGTCTTTCACTGTTTGAGTCAGTTCTCCTATGCCTAGTGGAAGAATATTTCCCATTAATGCTACAGATCACCTTCTCCTCAGGTTTTCTCAGTGTCTGGAGACCAACACAGACCAGCTGAGGCTGCACTGGGCTGAACAGGAGGAGTGATTTTGTGTGAGAAGTTGAGAGGAGCTCTAATGTATCACCATACACATCCACAAGACCAACCAGAAGCCTTTAACATTTCAGAGCTTTGATGAGGGCTCCCCTGAAGTCTCACAACTGGAAGGGCAAAATTCCCAAGAACATCTCCAGCAGGCAGCCCTAATATATTGGAATTGCACTTCACATGATGTACCTTTCTACAAATAGATATTGCTGGTTTTTTGAGGAGTGCTTAAGCACTTAAATAATCCAGAAGCCTGATGGATGACTAATACAACTAGAAAGCTCCATGTTCAAAAAGAAATTTAGGCTTCCCCACATTATCAGGGCTGCTCTCAGGATGCAAGCAGGGTAGAGAGGAGGCACCTGTGGCCCTCACAGCTGTCTCCCTGGTTTTGGACATCAGCTTGAGGCTGCAGCTGCTGTTGCTTTTGTTCATTTATGCCATCCAGGGAAAAAAGTTTGCACCTAAGGCCAAATTCCTCAAACTGGACGTGGCTGACTGAGCACACAGAGGTCACTATGGCAGTGCCAGGAGCCAGCTCCTCACTCACATGGATAAAGTCTGGTTCTGCAGCACAAATGAGGGAGGGAAGCACCTGGCACTGGTTTCACTGGGGCTGGGAAGAAGCCAGGCCAGTGCACCTTGGGGAAACTGAGGCAGGGAACACGCAGGTGAGAACACACACAGACAAGTGATGGCATGAGGCAGAGTGTTGGCTCACAGCAGCACGTGTGGAAGTCACAGAATGGGAAAACCAGCACATCTGTAAATATTAAATAAAAATATACAGAAAGATTAAAGGAGGCAGAACAGGAAACAAGCTTCACCCAAGTGAAAAAGCATGCTAGGAATGCAAACTTTGGGAAATAGGTGTATCTGAGGCAAAAAATATTCCCAAGATCCCAGACATCTTATAGGCAGGATACAGAAAAACAAGCCAGTGACTTCAGCTCCAGAAGAAACCCTCCACAATACCACAAAAGCAAAGCTTTAGACTGCAGCAGCTTCTCTCTGAGAAAAAAGAAAAGTGAAAGAAGGCCTAGGAAGATGACACAGCCTCTGCTGGGCTCACAGAAGATATTAAAGCACTGTACTGCATCAGCCTGAACTGCTCAAACGAAACACTTTTCAACAATTAATGACACTCCTACTACTGTCACCAAAAATAGACAAATTGGTTTTAGGGAATGAAGCTGCAAAAATTATTTGAGATACAATATCAAGTAAAATTGGAACCAGATTTCTCCTCCAGGCTGGAAGCTGCTGAGAGGATTAAATTGTGGCCCATCTACTGTTCCACTCCCCCCACCACTCCCAGCTGAAATTACCAAAAGCCAAGAGTTCATGAAACTTTCTACAGAGCAAATTCTAAATGGAAATTACAATTTTAAAATAATTTGGTTCGTTGCATCACTTTGGCCAAAAATAGAAACAACATTCCCAAAGGATGCTGCACAATTATCGCCCTAAACAAAACATCACGATGACTTATCAGCATCACTTAGTCTGCACAGAAAAAAATTGTTTATCATTATATAAATGCTTTTTCAGAAGTCCAGAAAGGGAACTCTGGTGCCAGTTTCAGCCTTTGTGTACACCCCAAAAACCCCTTGTGCTAAGCAGGGACTTGCACTCCCTAAAAGTCACCACCCTCACCGGTTTATTTTCATGAAATCAAGGGATCTACCCCCACTGGAATCAGTCCAACACTCTTACCTACAAATACTATTCCATTTGATTTCTGGAGAGGAAAATTTTCCCAAATTTTGATTTTTCTGCTCATTCCATAGGTGAGCTGTTACAGATTAAATAACCTGGCCCTTATTTTATTTGTCACACAAACACACACACAACAACTCTGCTCTGAGTTCACCGCAAGAGACTCTGGACTCTCCCTGCCTTTAATCCTGTCCAATTTCCTTGTTAGTCACTGACAAGCAACACTGCAGCTACCTACTTCTCAGCTCTCCATGTCTCTTTCTAAAAATAATGCCAGGGAAAGGAAATCAGGGATGTAAGTTCCCAGATAAGTTACTTCAGATGAAAAATGCTGACAAAACTGAGAGGAAAAAAAAATCAAAATGGAAATAAGGAATAAGAATTTAACAACTTACATTTGGGTCTCTAAGCATCCTTCCATAGGCTCAGCAGATATTTTATTGTTAATTCAGGTAAGATACTGGATTTTTAGTGTCTTGCCTTATATAGAGAATCAAAGAATCACAGAATGGTTTGGATTGGATGTGACCTTAGAGATCACACTGTTCTACCCCCTGACATGAGCAGGGACATCTTCCAGTAGCCCAGGTTGCTCCAAGCCCTGACCTGGTCTTGGACATTTCCAGGGATGGGCAGCCACAGCTGCTCTGGGCAACCTATGCTAGGGTCTCAGGCCTATCACAGGGAACAATTTCTTACTTGTATTTAACATAAATTTCCCCTATTTTAGTTTGAAGTCATTCTCCCTTGTCTTGTTCTGAATTAACAGTCCCTCTCCACCTTCCCTGTAGCCCCTTCAGATCCTGGAAGGTTCTCTGAGATGTCCATGCAACCTTCCCTTCTCCAGGTTGAACAGCCTCAGTTCTCCCTGTTTCCACAATGGAGGTACCTCTTCTCAAATACAGGTGAGTTTGGGCTTTTTAGGAAGGAATATTTGAGCTCCAAGCTAAGATATTCCAGAACAAAGGCATGTGACACTCACCACCTGATGTGTAATTCACTGCTTAGGCTTGTTATCCAAAATCACAGGGCAGGGAGTACTGGGGCACGGGAGCAGCAGAGCAGCCAGGCACTCATATCTGCACCGAACCTGGTAAGGAAGAAAACATATTTTAGGAAGTAGTTTATACCAGTGAATTAAAATCTTACTGTATTCTACTTAAAAACAAAAAAGGCATTATTTGGTTTCAGCTGGATATGACAGCATCCAAGTACTGGGGATGAAACAGAGCCAAACCCCACTGCTCATAGAAAAATCATTCTCCTTATGCCAGGGCAAACTCATACCTTTCTAAATAATGTGAACTTCAGTTCAGAAGACAGTGTGTTCTTAAAAAAAATACACCTTTCTCTCTCTTCAGTAATTGGAGGTTTGGTTTTTGGTAAATTGTGTTTCCCCACCTTGGGAAACAGGTTCCCAAACCTGAACTCCCTTGACGCAGTGTGCCTGGGCTGGCTCCATCTCCTGCCGTGCTCCAGGCACTTTGGTCAGAAGGAAGCACAGGGGTTTTTCTGTTTGTGACTTTCTTCTTTAAAAACACCCTCCAGAGCACAGAGTCCAAACAGCAGTTTCTGAATGGGAGTGCACTGTAAGACACGTGTGAAAGTCAAACCGAAATGAAACTATTTCTGGGTAACTCTGCCCAGAGCAACCAGAGACAGCTTGTTCTGTTCTGCACTCAAACTTTGGGCATGTAACACCCTTTGAAAGAAAACACATGGATAATTCTAACAAAAATGAAAATTTTAAAAAGCAACTTGAAGTTCTGAGAAGCTCTGACTGTCATCTAAAGAAGATTCTTCTGAAACACCATGGGAGATTCCTTTACACAGGCTACAAGCAACCAACTCCCCAATGGATATTCCAAGCTAAGTTAGCAGTTTTATCCTTATTTTTTCCAACTATTACAGCAAAGTAACAATAAAGATCCATATTAATATCTTGAAACAGAGGGTGTTTTTGCTTTTTCCAACATGAAGTGCAAGACAGACCAAAGCCACTGTGGCTGTGCTGCTGAGTGACACCATATTGACTGAAGCACGTAGGAATTTGGTGTCCACCTCTGCCCTGTCCTTTCAGGAGCTTGTGGTCAGTCCAGTCCAAGTCACACCTGTGCTCTTCTGAAGTTGTTCATGGTTTCTGTCCTCCAAAAGCCTGGAGGATTGCTCAGCAGAGGTGTAGCAGACTTTGAAAGTCCTCACGAGCTCCCAACAGCTATCATTAATTAATCCTCCTCTACAATTATCCAGCATCAGCTTCAGAATGAAGCCAACCACCAGCGTGAGGAACACATACCACTACTCCAGTGTACAAGCAGTGACACTCACACCTCTCAAATGAAAAGGTATTAGTGTGCTGAATGTAGGCCTCAATATAAAATTTACTGTAAAGTATTTAAGGCCAACTTTGTTCTACTTGATACTAAAGTAATTCCAAGTTATTTGACCAGGTCAGAGGCTGCAGTAAGGATGAACCAGCCAAACTTGTACGAAAACAAGACCTAAAAGAAAGGGAAAACACACACACCTATTCACAGGAAAACAGAGATTGCAGCTTTATTTAGTTACTTGCCATCCACTCCTGAGCAAAAAACTGGAGTATCCCATTAAAATGACAGTCCATATATTTAAATGCTGAACACCCTTTCAGCTCTGCTGTCTTGTCACTTGGAACAGGCCCTACTTAAACTTAGAAGAAAAACTAAAAGCTGTGCATAAAAATTCCAGATGGGTTAATTGGCCAAAAACTTACTCAGTTTCCTTACACCAATCCCAATGTTTGGTGGTGACTCCAAACAAGGAAGCGAAACAGAAGACTCTATTTATAATACACTCCATGGTACAATGATTCACTTTAGGAATAAAGGTAAATAAATCATCTCATGCCATCCTAAGGTTCAGGTTTGAACCAGGGGTTAGGCATTATTCATGTTCTGCTCAAAGAACAAGACGACCAGCATGTTACAGAGGATCAAAGTGTAACGTGGGAAAATCCCCATGCCAGTCAGACTCTGCAGCTTCCTACTGGCAAGGCCAAGTGACAAAACCCATCCCTACCTCATTCAAGACCTTTTTTTAACAGACCTTTTGACCTGAAGCACAGCAAACGTGACTCCCACATTCACCCAGGTGTGACTCCAGCATCTTGATAGAATCCCAGGTTCAAAAAGCAGAACTTGGTCTCCATGCTTTCCCTGGCCATACACCCAGAAATCCTGCCCATGTTAAACATGGCCAGGAAGCCAGGATCCTTGTTTACCTGCAAGCATGGCATGGAGCAGAAAGACACCTCTGGCAGCAGCAGAAAGCAATAGTTAGCAAGTGAGAATGTGTGGAGAGCCCTGTTAGAGCACTAGTTTGTCATGGTAACGAGCTCCAGCCTCTCCATCTCCATCCAGCCTTGATGTCCAAAGCCTCGTGTTACGGAGAATGCAGGGACCACGTCCCTGGGCGAAGGGAAGAATAAGGCAGAATGAAGAATGACAACAAAAGAGGAAGTCTGAAACTATGGCTGGCAAGTGGGACCCTTTCTAGCTCTTGACAAATAATTAACCCTTTTTGCACTTAATTAGCAAGTTGAGACTCTGAGCCCATTTCCTGTGACATGTCCTGGCATGGATGGCTCCAGAGAGGCCTCAGGCCACACCTGGAGCTGAACAGGCCTTGAAGTTTTACAACCATGCAGGATCCTTCCCTGAGGATGCTTTGCTTTGTATCAGGCACTTCAACAGGAAGAATTACCTATTTTCCAGAGTGCCAAAGGCAGGAGGACATGAAGCATTCACGGATGTGGAGCTGGGCACAGGTCCCATACACCTGTACTCAGGACAAGACCCTCTGCATGGGTCAACAGAACACAGCAAAGTGGTCTCTTCCCAGCACACAGCCAACAAGCAGCATGTTGGTCAGCCCTCAAAGGCCACTTGAGGAAGAAGTCCTTTACTTCTTCCAGGTGAGGCACTGGAACAGAGAGACTGTGGACTCTCCATCCCTGGAAGAATTCAAGGCCAGGCTGGACAAGGCTCTGGTCTAGTGGAAGGTGTGCCTGCCCACAGGAGGGTCAGAATGAAATGACGTTTGACGGTCCATCCAACCTAAACCATTATCTGAATATCACAGAGTTACAGACACACCACCACACCAGGCAGAGGAGCCACAAAGACCCCCAAAAACTCTTTGAGCTATCAGTGTGAGAGAACAGGGCTCCACCAGAAGCTTTAAGCCCTGCTGTTATTTTCCACATTACTTTTCAAAGCAAGGAGCAGACGAGAAGTTTGTTTCAGTTCCAGAGTAAAAACTAACATCCTTGAGGGCATTGTGTGAAAAGCTAGCATTTGCTACCTAGAGTACACAACCAGGTCTTTCATCTCCTCCAGGGCCAGGGAAATACTTGCCAGCCTGAACCAGGAGGAGTGACTTCTGTGGCATAGTGCTTCCAAGGTGGGAGTACAGCACAGCCACTTTTTGGCTCCCTGAGGAGGACATGGCTCCTGCCACAGCAGGGAAGGTGACTCTACAAATCCACTTTTCCATAGTCTCTCAGGAAGCTGGTACACAGACAGATTTTGGGTCTTTTGCACTTCAGCTCATTATTATTTACCAGTTAGCAGCACAAAACTCTGGGTAGCACTTTGAAAAAGCTTCTCATCTTTAGGCTTGAGGTGTTTGTACTCTTCCCAAATTAAAGCACAAGACCAATATTCAAATTCCAATCTAATGGACACTGCCCTACCTCAAAGTGTTCATACCATTGAGCACAGCAGAAAAGGTACAACGGCTCCCACCAGCATTAGATGATGGAATGGAACCTCAAGAGCTAACATGATGCTCTGCTGTGAATAAATCTGTGACATCATCTGCCGATTATCAGCAGATATCAAAACCAGCAGAGCAGCAGTGAAGCAGAAAGGACCTCAATGACATATTTAAGGCTGTCTGCCCTCAAAACATGGAATGTAGCAGGGTCAATAGGGGAAAAGTCATGTGTTGTTGAGTACATTTTGCTGCCTTTTTGCCAAAACCAAACACATTCAATGCCTGAGGAAGAGATGGACAGAAAGATGAATGTCTTCATGACTGCACTTGAAGCAAAGCTCAGTAATTTGCAAATTCCTCCCTGAATACACCCCAAAGCTGATATGTACATTCATTCTGCTCAGCTGAAGAAAAAGACAGTCAGCCTTTATCCCACACTGTACTTGGGCTGTACTGCTGTACAGTGGGCTGTACACACTGTACTGCTCAGAACAGCCTTTATCAGCTCACACCTAGGTAAAAAAAATTAAATTATACAAACCTGTGGCTTACAAAACGCATTTGACATCTCTCTCCCAGTTCCCTTAACTCATGAGCAGCCTGCATACCTCCAACACAACAAGGAAATGCTGCAAACAGGTCTAGATCTCAATTCTGTATTTACAAAAGGAAAACAGCAAATATTTTTTGGAGTTAGTCCTAATGCCATGCCCAATGCAACCCCAGTACATGTTTGATATTCCCAGTAAGCTGCCTGTCCCTAACACATAACAGGGGCCTACACTTCATTAAATACTTCAGCAAAATATCGAAGGCCTCAAAACTGATGCAAATCATCTCTGTGATCAAAGGGAATAGAACAGTGCCTCAAATAAAACAAGAATAAAAAATTCAGAGAAAACATGAAGGCAACTTCAGGTAGGGTCTACTTGCAACACAGGAATATCATGGAATGAGATTCTTTAAATCTTTTAACTCATCAGGAACAGAGGCCTGCTTTTTCTAAATTAAATTTCATGATATGTTTTCCCTGACTCTACCTGAGGTGCTCCCAGCATGGAGCAGCACTGCGTGCTTCCAGCAGCAATCATTCCATATGATGTGGTTTGGTGACACCTCAGCCTGGGAGCAGAGAGATGTGACAGCTCGGCTGAGGACGCTCATGAAGAGAGCTCTAATTTATCCTTTCAATGAGAGCCTCTGATCCCAAACCCTGACCTGCCTGGTACAGCTTCCAGAGCCTGAAACTCAAACAGGGGAAGCCCACCCAAGGAGTATTTTACTTTTCACTTTGCGATGATTTAACCTTTCCCCTGCAGCAGCTGCAGATACTGT